CCTTTGTTCGGTAAAAACCTGCTGTGTGTAGAAAGTTGGCAAGTATAGTATTGCGTATTCGGATTTGTATAATTTCACGCCCACCAAGTACCCCCTCCCCCACACACGCAAAACACACACACACACACACACGCACAGACACACACACACACACAAACACACGCTCGAAGGTGCGCCAGCTTTAGATCCAGATCTAGGCCTTCTCAGAACTGAGAAAGCCTAGATCCAGACCAAACAATCTCCCGTGTTTCTCGTTTCTGTTTCTATTGAAGTACTGGAGTTGGCTGCCATGTCACACAGTGGCTGTGGCGCACATTTACCCATGCGTGACCGACTCAGTCAACTCTTGCTCTGCATTCGTGCCGGTGTTCGTTCGATATCAGAACCGGAGGCCTTCTTCCTGCCTTTTTCTTCTCTCTCTCTCCCCCTCCTCTCTGCTTGTCTGTCTGTCGGTCTGTCTGTCTGTCTGACTGTCTGCGCGCCAGTCTGTCTGTCTACCTGTCTGTCTATCTGTGTGTCTGTGTGTCTGTCCATTTGTCTGCCTGTATGGCCCTCTGTCTGCCTGTCTGTCTGTCTGTCTGTCTGTCTGTCTGTCTGTCTGTCTGTCTGTCTGTCTGTCTGTTGTTGTTGTTGTTTTAGGTTGGTGGTGTTTTTAGGTGGTATTTTTTTTTAGGGGGGGGGGTTCGGATGAATTCCATAACAAAGCTGTCAGTGATCTTTGGCTATTTTGAAGACTGAGCACAGGGAGTATTTAATGCTTACCATTTAACATTGCAGAACAAGTAAAATTTACCTGACCCGGATCTGTGGGCGGTTTGTTGGTGCTCTGGCGTGGTTTCCTCATTTTTCCTATCAAATGTCTATCGTTCTTATCTCTCCCTCTATTTGTATTTATTATTATATTCTTTTGTAACACCCGTAATGTTCAGCATTTACTTGACCTATATTGTGTTGCAGGTGCCCTAACACTCTGACTAAATCTAAACATACTGACTCAGGTTTTGCGTATTTACAATTTTCAGTATACATGTACTACAGTGGATGGTTGATCAAAATACAGGATGATCCAAACATTGTTTAAAACCCCAAAAATCTTTACATCTTTTTTGTTTTGAATATTATCTCGCACAAAAATAGTTTTAGAATGTTGCAATTTGGAACAGAAGTTATTCATTCAAAAGGAATTTGTTTAACATGAAATTGATAAAGAAAGAACAATTTTTTGGGGGAAAACGAAAACGGCTTAAAAAAAACAACATCCATAAACGTAAATTTCCCCAATTAAAAATCTTTTAAGGAAAGTCATTAACCGAGTGGTTTGCGTTTTTCCTTCGTTTTGTTTAGATAAAAAATAGAACACCCGCCCCCCACAAAAGAACAAAACAACAACAACAACAACAACAACAACAACAACAACAACAACAACAACAACAACAACAACCAAACAAACGAATATTGCTATTCTAGAATTCTTAGAGCAAGTGCTCTACATGTCTTCCTTTGGATTCGAAACATTTCGTGGTGGCCAAGCATAAGGACCCGCCATATCATGAATCCAAAAAACAACATTGAACACATAGTTGTTGTGCTGTGATCCGTATTAAAATCACAAAACTGAATATGGAACTGCCACAGTTGAAGATCTACCTTGAGAAAGTGGACAGTTGAGGTGTAGAAAAGTTCTAGCCGTAGACTGCTGTAACTTGCAATATGGCGCAATCGTTGCGACTTTAAGTGGCAGACTTAATAATTCTTCTTCTTCTTCTTCTTCTTCTTCTTCTTCTTCTTCTTCTTCGTCTTCTTCTTCTTCTTCTTCTTCTTCTTCTTTTTCTTCT